CGCACACGCGCCTCTCCCCCCCCCCCCAACCCCCCCCCCCGCGGCCGCCCCCCCCCTCCCCCCTTCGCCACTCTTCGCTACTCTTCGCCCCTCTTCATCGCCCTCCTCTCCTCCTCCACCACATCCTCATCCTCATCCTCATCATCATCATCATCATCATCATCATCATCATCACCTTCACGCGTTATCAATCGCGCGAGTGAATTGACGAAACGCAGCACGTCGTGAGATCCTGACGCGTTTATCCTCTCGTAGTGCACTCACGTCGAGCGCCATGTTTCTGGCCGAGCCCGTACTTCCCTTCCCCCCTTTTTTCTAATATCCTCTAACTCCCCAAATCCCCCTCCCCGCCCAGCCCAGCCTCTCGTACCTCCGCCGCCGACACCGGCGCCGCCGTCGCCACCACCGCCAACACCAGACCAGGACGAAAGGACTCCCACCCTCGACTCTCTCTACCTGAGCGCCCGACAGGAGTTGCTCGGCCGTGCTTACGAAGTACGTCGCGGCATACAAATGAGAAGCTCGCTGCGAGGGGCCGAGGGGTCGAGGGAGAGGGACCGAAAAAGACGTCGCCGAGGGTTGGCATACAGGGGCTAACGGCTAAGCGCGAGCGTGCATTCGCTCTTTGTTGGCGTGCCTCGTGACGCGTTGCCAGGGGCGACCGGAGACTGCGCGCGCCTTCGAGAATTTTCCCCCCTTCGTTCGGTTGGCCGCAGGCAGGGAACTTCTCGTCCTTGCAGCCGCCGTCCTTCTTTATCGTCCGGGCCAGAGTTTATGGTCAGACGGCGTGACGTACGGCCGAGGAAGCGCGCCTATCGATAGCCCAAATCGCTCGCCCAAGTTTCGAACCTGCGATTGTTATTGTTCCGCGCGTGCTCGATAGGAAAGTCGAATGGTGGGTGGGACGGGGGGAGTGGCCGACCCCGGAACGCGAGCATACGAGACCGTTATCTTGCGCAACTGCGGCCTTACGAATTTCCTTGGTGAAATCTTTGGTTAAACGAAACGGAGGGCCGCGCGGGAATCGCGGGATAAAAGCGCCACTCCTAGGGTCAAGCCTAATCGCGTTGTTCGAATCGCAAGTATTTTACTGGGCGCCTACTAAAATACAATAAATATTATGATGAAATTAACCGCAGACATTTTTTATTTCCATCCACCCACTCTCCTCTCACACGCTTACCTTTCACACTCCCGTTCCAGGCTTATTATCCACGCGAGCCTTTTGTATTTGGCCGGGTGCTATGACGTTTGCTGTTTAGCGACGCGGTACCGCTTATCTCTATCGTTGGTGAAAGCGAAAGCGTTTGCGCAGGAGTCGCGAGGGAAAAACGCATCAAATGAAAATGTTTTGAAATAAGAAATACAGAGAGAGAGAGAGAGAGAGAGAGAGAGAGAGAGAGAGTGAGAGAGAGAGAGAGAGAGAGTGAGAGAGAGAGAGAGAGAGAGAAAGTGGGGGAGGGGGTGGCAAGGGACGGATGTGGTGGGTTTAGAACGTAAACGGACAACTAAAGTAGTGAATTTCGCTGGAGTTCGAAGCTGCGACTTCGATATGAATATGTCTTGCTTGTGTATTATATTTCGGATTATTACTTGCGCTGATTGCTTAATTAATTGGTAATCGCAAAAGCTTACGTATACATTAATTAATTACCATGTATACTAATGGAGAGATAAAGACTACAGTTAATCCTCTAAAATTAGATAAACTACAATGCAGCGAGTGTACGTTTCTTTTTCATTTTCATGCTTGCGCTAAATATTTTTCAACAATATTTTTGTTTTAGAATTGTAGAGACACTCTGGACTAGAGAAGGATGCAACATTATACTTGGAACAAACAATGATGGTTTTAGTAGGCATAAACTAAATATTCACATATTAAGTATGATCAGCTACTTATTGTAATAAATATCAGATCAGCCACATATTTATGTCAAATCATTAATGACAATATACATAAGTTATAAATATTTTTATAGAACAACGTGCGCATTGAGATTACTAAAGTTTCATATCAAAAAGAAATTCATGCTTTTGTAGATTTATTGAAATTTATAAATTCAATTAATATAATTAGTCATTCGGTATTAATTAATCGGCGCAATATTAGAATATTATTTAAGTGACCAAAACATATTTGATCCATCGTACCTTAACGCCCAATTATCATTTATGTAATAATGACTACAATAGCCCACTAATAACACATTTCGGAGTGACAAGAAATTATAGGTTAGATTTTGAGAATTTAAAATAAATAAGCATTAAGTATATCTAATTTCCCTATAGTTAGTTCGTTATGCGTCAAATTAACATTCTAAATATATATTTAAACATTAAGGTTCTACAGCTGACAAATAAATTGCTTTACAAAAAATTATTATTAAAACTATCGTAAAAGAACTTTTCATACAAGCAATAATCATATCAATATTTGTCTATTAGTATTGATAATAAATACTTAACAAATAATTTGTAATTGCATTAAATTAATAGAAGATAAAAGAAGAATAAATGGTCAATGAAAGGAAAATCCGTAGAGATGAAAATGTCAAAAGTATGCGGCGACAGTACGGAGAAGCTTTTTCAAAAATTTAAAGTTAAAATTAAAAGTTTTTGAAACAACAACATTAAAGGAATTAGGGAACGGCTTGAAGTACTTTCTCTGCCAAATCTTGTTAAAAGTAATAAATAAGTTAACAGGTCATCCTTAACATTCTCAATAAGGATAAACGGGAATCGTGCTAAAATATATATGAATAATGTACAGAAGGAAAAGTCTACATTAATTATGGCGGGCGCGCGCGCGTGTAATATATGGCGGTGATATGCATCTTGAGAGGCTCCTGTTTCAGGCATGCAACTAAATGAAAATAAACAATCACGTAACCCCCATGAGAAAAAAATGATATTATTTCACAAGCTATTATCTAATATAAAGTACAATATAATAACAATCGACCCAAGGAGTAAGATTAGTATCTTGCATCCCGAGGGATTGTGAGAGTGCAAAAGTGCCAGAAGTTCTCAATATTATTATTATTATTATTATTATTATTATTATTATTATTATTATTATTATTATTATTATTACTATTAGTCGGACAGATCGGAATCAATGTTCAAAGTTAGCCATCACTTTCGAGAGAATTTAAATAGGCGCGCATAGCTTAGATTAGCAGCCATTACTTATTCATCCACAATATTCCGTATATCGGAGAAAGTAAATTACTATTTCCGGAACTTAATGTTTATAAAACCATTATGCAGTTAGTTG